CCTGCCACGCAAACACACACTCAGATGCACAGAATGCTGCGCCTGCCACGACTTCGGCAATGGCATCTCCAAAGTGCTGCGCCTGCCACGATTTCGCGAGCCCCGAGCCGCGCGCGCGACAACATCCCAGCCCTTTAGACAGCTGCCAAATGCTGCTCCTGCCACGCAAACACACACTCAGATGCACAGAATACTGCGCCTGCCACGACTTCGGCAATGGCATCTCCAAAGTGCTGCGCCTGCCACGATTTCGCAGCCCCGAGCCGCGCGCGCGACAACATCCCAGCCCTGTAGACAGCTGCCAAATGCTGCCCCTGCCACAAACACACACTCAGATGCACAGAATGCTGCGCCTGCCACGACTTCGGGCATCTCCAAAGTGCTGCGCCTGCCACGATGCCACAACATCCCAGCCCTTTAGACAGCTGCCAAATGCTGCCCCTGCCACGCAAACACACACTCAGATGCACAGAATGCTGCGCCTGCCACGACTTCGGCAATGGCATCTCCAAAGTGCTGCGCCTGCCACGATTTCGCGAGCCCCGAGCCGCGCGCGCGACAACATCCCAGCCCTTTAGACAGCTGCCAAATGCTGCCCCTGCCACGCAAACACACACTCAGATGCACAGAATGCTGCGCCTGCCACGACTTCGGCAACGGCATCTCCAAAGTGCTGCGCCTGCCACGATTTCGCGAGCCCCGAGCCGCGCGCGCGACAACACCCCAGCCCTTTAAACAGCTCCCAAATGCTGCCCCTGTGAGTGAGTGAGTGAGTGAGTGAGTGAGTGAGTGAGTGAGTGAGTGAGTGAGTGAGTGAGTGTGAGTGAGTGTGAGTGAGTGAGTGAGTGTGTGTGAGTGAGTGAGTGTGTGTGAGTGAGTGTGTGTAAGTGAGTGTGTGTGAGTGAGTGTGTGTGTGTGTGAGTGAGTGTGTGTGAGTGAGTGAGTGTGTGTGTGACTGAGTGTGTGTGAGTCAGTGTGTGTGAGTGAGTGTGTGTGAGTGAGTTTGTGCGGGTGAGTGAGTGAGTGAGTGAGTGAGTGTGAGTGAGTGTGAGTGAGTGAGTGTGTGTGTGAGTGAGTGTGTGTGAGTGAGTGTGTGTGAGTGAGTGTGAGACAGTGAGTGTGAGTGAGTGGGCGGCGGGGGCGGCGGGGCGGGCGGCGGACGGCGGGCGGCGGGCGCGGAGCGGTAAAAGTAACAACCCCACACAAAGATGTGGGGAAAAAGTGCCACCCAACAAATGCATGGGTAACTCTAAAGCCTTTGCCCCCCAATCAACACCCACCAAAAGCGCCCTTTGCTCCTTAAGGACGGAGGTGGGCTCCGAGAAAACTCCCGCAGTGTTTCTTCCCTGCCAGGGGGCCCTGCGCGCGCTTCCGGCGGGCCCGGCGGATGCGGTCTTCGGGGACTTCCTGTCGCTGCCGGGGAAGATCAGGCGAGGGCGTCGAGTGCTCGCGGCAAATCCCAGACACTCCTTGGTGGCTCCCGGCCATCCCTCACTTCCTGAGTTCATGAACTTCAAACTATTTGGGAAAACCTAATTAGTGGTAAACATGAAGTTTGGGACTTTTTGTTGAGCCATCCACTCAGCAAGTGAGATCCGGTTCCTTAGCTGCTTTTTGGTTGGTTTAGTGGGTATTTTCATTTAACCCTCTAAAAGCTGCACTTTTAGGAAGGGGATCTGAGGACAGCCCAGACTTCATAGAAGATTGTCCGTTGATTTTCCAAATCGGTGACATGGATTGGCAGCGAGGTTCGAAGCCCCAAGCGGGGGTCATTTCTTTGATGTGTGTTTTTCTCCAGTTTTGGTGTTTTCCAGCCATCCGGTTCCTTAGGTTTTTGGCTTGTTTTTCGTTTTCGGTGAAAGGTGGTAGTTTCCAATTTGACCCAAAAACAAGCCATTCACTTTTTGGGGATCGGAGCCCAGTTCTTTGTCCCAAGAGCTGGGGATCTTGGGCAGCCAAATGGGTCCCAGGCGTCCCCGAGTCCCCAGGCCTTGAGGCACTGGAGGCTCCAAAGGGACGGAAGACTAAAACTTTGGGTTTGGACCCTCAAAAATGGGCAAAACAGGTTTTCCTCTTGGCTTCCTGTTAAAGCCACCCCACTTGAAAACAGACAAACTTAAATGAGGGTTTGCTAACGTAGCATGGCTGGAAGCATAGTCCCTGCAACCTGCACCATGTGATTCTGTGCCGTGCGCGAGCCAGGGAAAAAAGCCATTCGGGCTTTTCCCTACCCTCTCAGGTTTCTCCCTAAGAATCCCATCCAAGAAGGTTCTCAGAGCCAAACCAGCAGACGGGACTGCGAAGTCACCATGGGCCCCTGGAACCCAACAGCCGACTTTGAAGCCAAGTTGTCCCACCAGGTGATCGGAGGTTTTATCCCAAAACCCCACTGGGGGGGGCGGGAGGGAGGACATTGACTTTGGCTGTGACAGTGGCCTCCCACTTTTGTATGTGACTCAACTTCATGCATGCCCGTCCGCCCGGATCATCAACCCCGCCAGGGCCGGCCTGGGTGCTGTTGGCATCAAGGACGGGAGCACTTCATGTTTAATGTCCCGCATGATGGCCTCCCACCAAAATTGGGTCCCAAACATGGTTGGTGTCCCCTGGTTGGTTCTTTGGTGGTTCCCAGCCATCCGGGTTCCTTAGCTTTTTAGTCACACTTAGTTGGTTTAGTAGTTGGTTTTCCCTTGAACCCACTAGCAGTGGAACTTTCAGCAGGGGGTCTGAGGACGTCCCAGCTTGATTGGGGTTGCGGTTTGTTTAGCACGTGTTCAGCGCGTTTTCCCTTCAGATCACGAAAGGGTACCGAATACTTCAGGCCCGCACCTTGCGAAACCTGAAGCCGGACGCCGGACTTGCCGTTGGAAGATCGCCAGGAACTCCGGACGGACTCCTCAGCGCTCCCTCGCACGAAGAACCTAAATACCGTGGATGGGCGAAATCCTGCACCAACTAAGAGGCAGAGGGATGACCCCCTATAAATACCAAGGAACAATGCTTTCCCATGGTTTCCAAGTGGTGCAGGATTTTGTCCATCCACAGTATGAGGGCAGTTGACACCTCAGCAAAGACAGACAAATGCAACAAACAATGGTTTCGGAGGGGTGAAAGAGGGGTTTGTAGTTTCCTTGGCAACTTTTTTGTCGAATGCCCTTCCTCTGACTCCAATTGAAGTGAAAAATGCCCCTCTGACGAGCAAACCTGCAGCTTGAGATGGGCTTGTTCCTCTGCCTTTCGCATCTCGGGCCTTCAACCGCTGAAGGACGCAGCGACGTCGGGCACTTTGGGATGCCTTTTGTTTCAGCGGACTCGGTTTGGACGGGTTCGCATAAACCGGTTCCCTAGGGACAATCTTGTGTGTAGCATCCTGGAACGCTGTGCTAGAAGTTAGAACCCATTCAGGGTTGAACCTTATAACTTATATCTTTATATTGAAATGTAAAGTATGATATCCCCATGTATGATGGACAGTGTAGAATAATCTCACAATATATTTCCATGTATGTTGGACAGAGGTCTATTTGCAGCCAGCTTCTTTGTGTTCAGATCCCAAAGCATCTCTGTTCGCCAGCGAGGACCCCATGCCAGACAGGGAGGAGTCAGTGAAGGAGTTCGTGACCAGGAACTTGGGCGAGGAGGTCGGCGCAAGCGATCGATCGAGACACCAAGCTTTGAAAGCTCACTACACAGAGAGTCCCCCGCCAAAGACCTGCATGGGTACTTGGCCTCGCTTAGCTTCTTGAAAACATGCTCACCACTCACCACAGAAGGGTTGGGGTGTTGTGGGGGGGGGGGGCTGACTCAACGTTTTTTAAGAATCTGATTTCCAAGGTTGGTGCGGTGCATATCAGTGCTGGGTTGAGCAAGGGATCGATTCCCGCCCTGTCGTGGACTGTTTTCCCACCTGCCACTATAACAGATTGTGTCGGCGACGATTGTGGTTTGCTTCGGCCATTGCATCTTGCCCAATCTCATGCTTGTCCACTTGCCTGGATTGCCAATTCGACGTTCCTGGTTCACACACTTTGCGGGTGCGGGTTGGGGGGGGGAGTCGACATCCACGAAGAGGACTTGTCTAGAGCAGGCTGGTGAAGAGGCAGCGTCTTCTGGCAAGCGGTGTCATCTTTCAGTCCGTCCTCTTTCACGCTTTAAACTTGGTTGCTGTTGACCCCTCTGCAAAAGTTTAACTTTTGTGGGTTCAATGGACAACCCATCATTTCCCAAAAAGTTGACGTCTAAAGATCCAACCCCGTAGCAATCAAGCAAAGGGAGGCGAAACGGAAGCGAACGCTGTCAAGATCCAAGGATTGAACACGTTCCTACTTGTCCGTAGGACAGGTTGCAGGCCAAAGCTAGCTGGAACTGGCATGGGTACGGAATATACAGCTATGATGTAGTCATATAGCGATGTAGGTGACGGTGGTTTGGGACTCAAATCCGTCTCCCAGATTCACACTGATGGACAAGTATTCCATGGCGGTTCAAAAATACACACCCACTCCAGCGAATTAATGTGAACCCACGAATATAAACCCATGGATGATCCATGTTTGGGGTGCTGCTTCGCCTGCCCGGAGTGAGTGGGTGACCAGGGGCCATGGGGACCAGAGGCACTGTGGCCTATGCTTAATTGTCAACATCTCCTTGGGACTTGTTCATGTCCTGCCGTGGTTTGAAATTACAATACTTTCACCATGGCCAGAATCTCGAAACAAGTATTGTTGAAGGTCCGTGATACATGGGATGACGATTGGGGAAAACCACTACGAAGATTATGTTTCCCGACATGGGGGGAAGTCACCCGTGGTCATTTGGGGGCCGAACGGAATAGTGATCAACCCCCACATATTGTTGTTCGCCTCACTTCCTGAGTTCCTGGACTTCAAACCTTTTTGGGAAGACCATTTTAGTGGTAGGACAAATAGCTTGGTTACTTGTTTGGCCCACCCAGTCGATCGGAAGTGAGTGGATGAGATATCCATTGCGACATCGCCGCGTGGCTCAAAGCGCCGTCTTGGCGCCATTGGAGCCCGGCGCTTTCGTCGGGCTCCCGCTGGGGTTTTCGCGCGCTCGCTTTGGCGGTCGACCGCGCGATGGAACCGGCCGAAAGGCGGGGGCCGGGGGTTTTCTGAGCCGCGAAACGGAGGGCTTGAAGGCCAGGTCTTCAGTAGGCGGGTGCGGGTGAGGGACCCACCACCTTGGAGGGCGCTTCGAAAATGAGCGAGAAGGCCCTTTCGGGGCTTATGGCTTGAGCTTGGAACGCTTTGGCTAGCTTCCAGTTTAGCTTTTACTGGGAGTCAGGATTTTGCCTGCTTCTAGGGGTTAACAAAATCAGAAGCTGGTTGGTGGTTTCCTTTAACCTACCATTTGAGGAGTGACTTTGACAATTGAAACATCATGGGCCCAGTTTTGAACTTCTTGTTGCCAGGTTTCTTCATCACAGTGTAGGGCCAAACGAGTTATTACAATGGGGCGAGGGTAGATGGCAAGGTGGGTGGCTCAGAGCTTTCCGAGTTGCATCGAACCTCTTTGTGGGTCCGTTCGTCGGTTCGTCGTGTTAGTTTGTTTGCCCTACATTGCTTGGGGGGGATCCCTTATTTCAGGGTGTGGAGGTCGATGGTTTCCCTTTCGTTTGCTTTCTTTGTATTCTCCTACGTTGTGCTGTTCAAAAGTATTTTGCCGGATTTGTTTCACGGATTTCCGGGGCTCTGCCGGCTTCGGCTGGTGGTCAACTAACCGCTAGGAGTAACTCCTGGACCATCTGAGCGGCTGAACGAAATTGCACTCCAGGGGCTTCTGGTCCGTTCTGGACGACCTGGGTCCGGAGGACGAGGTGCCTACAGATACCGAGCTCGTAGAGGAGGAGATGCCCGTTGGGAAGCTTGCGGTCCAGTTCCTTTTGGTTCCTTTGGGATTTTGGGTGACTTTGAACAGGGCTCCTTAAAAGATACATTTTGCCCATTTGAAGCATGTCTTTTTCCACCAAAATAAAGGGAAACCACCATTTACAAGGCAATGTTCAGGTGTGCAACGTCCAAAACCTCCGTCTACATGTTTATCAGGGACTATGTCATATCGACCCGTGGCGTAAGCAAAGCCTGCACGGGCGTAAGGCGGCGTAAGCAACTGTCGAAAAAATATGTCGCGCAAGCATCGTAAGCTATTGTTCAGTCATGTTGTTTGGAATATCCTATGTGTTTCTTCAGTCATGTTGTTTGTCATATCCATGTGTTTCTCATTAGTCATGTGCTTGTCATATCTACCCATTGGGCCTTATAAAGCAATATTGTCCTTTGCTACTACACAACGCAAAACTAGGGAATGTTTGGGCGTTTTCCGCGTAAGGCTCGCGTAAGCTTCGCGTAAGCCCCCGTGTAAGCCTCAGCTGCGTTTCTGAGTAGTAGCCTTGCCGGCTTTGAAAAGCCCTTCCTAGACCTGCCATTGTCCAGCTCTGCCGAGCTCATTGTCCAGCTCTGCCGCACGGCGCTTGGGAGCTGGAAGGGCCCAAAGCCGGAGACGACAATGCGTTGACTCGCAAGTTCGCTGCAATGAAGCTGTTCTTCCTCCTCTTCATCTTCCTCCACGGCTAGTCGTCTGCGTGAAAGGCAAAAGTGCTCGCGTAAGCCGCCTTCCACGGAATTGCATCCGGTCTCTCCTCTCTGGCGTAAGGGCTGCGTAAGGCCTACTTGAAGCCCATGTGCCGCGTAAGCGAAAGCACGGTGCGCGTAAGGCTGCGTAAGGAAGCGGCGTAAGGAGAGGGATGCGACATGGGGAATCACGACACGTTTTGGACATGGCTCAGGTGTATAATGTAAGGATCCCTGATTGAAGATCACTTGAGCCAAATCTAAAGTGAGGTTCCTTTAAGTAAAGTTAGTGTTTGTTCACCTGGTCATTTGACCGGCTCGACAGTATTCTTGCAAGACGTGCATGGTGATTGGCAGAAGTTTTGTGGAAGGCCTATGTGTCAAATGACATGAGGCCCAGAGTCCTCGCAACACGGTGGCTGCGGAAGCGTCGGAGCAATTGCAACCAACACATGCCCTTCACGTCGCGAAAAAGTGGGCAAGGTCGGCAGAAGGTTGAACAAGTCCTATCACACTTGTCCGGGAATGTGAATTATTATTGTAATTTCATAGTTTGCCAAACATATGAATCCGCCGAGGACCGTGCCAATAATTTAATAATCCCATGGTTGTCAGCCCCCCCCCCCCGCAGTCAGGCCCCCCCCCCGCAGTCAGGACCCCCCAACAGGAACCCTACTGGCCCCTAATACGCCTTTCTCTTCGCTATTAGGGTCTATTAGGATTATGGGGGCCACAGGTTACACGTTTTCCATCAATGGAAGCGGACGGCCCTTTTCAAGAAGATGCGGTGGACAGTCTCTCTCTCTCTCTCTCTCCTCTCTCTCCTCTCTCTCCTCTCTCTCCTCTCTCTCCTCTCTCTCCTCTCTCTCTCTCTCCTCTCTCTCTCCTCTCTCTCCTCTCTCTCCTCTCTCTCCTCTCTCTCCTCTCTCTCCTCTCTCTCCTCTCTACCTCTCTCTTTCTCCTTCTCTCTCTCTCTCTCTCTCTCCTCTCTCTCCTCTCTCTCCTCTCTCTCCTCTCTCTCCTCTCTCTCCTCTCTATCTCTCTCTTTCTCCCTCTCTCTCTCTCTCTCTCTCTCCCTCCCCCCCATTTCCATCATGTCCATCATTTGTTGAGTGGACTCCGGGAACCAAACTCCAAAAAAAAATCCACCAACCACAAGGGGCTCCATGTTTTCGGGCTTCCCTGCCAGGTTTCCAGTTCTGCGCTTTTGCCGGGTGTTTGACCTTTGCGTTCTGAGCAAACAACAAAGCCAAAGCAGTATATTTTAGCACACGACAAGACACCAGACTCCCTGTTTGGAACCGAGGCTCACTCTGTGAGCTCCTGGACTTTAAACTTTTTGGGTTTTGACAATTTTAGTGGCGAACAGTGTGGACCTTTCTTTGGGCCATCCACTCAACTTGGTGGTTCCCAGGCATCCCTTTAGGTTTTTAGCCTGCTAGGGTTTAGTGGTAGTTTTGATTCTCATTATCATTGTTTTTGGCAAGTTTAGTTTTTAGTTTCCTGGTCCGAGTCCTGTTACATTTTCCATTTGCTTGGCTTCCCACTACAGACTTGTTTGTGACGTTATATAGGCGTTGTTTCGGGTGTTAGCTGGCAGGACGGCCTCGGGGAGGATGAGGAGGAGCGGCAGCTGCTAGAGCGCAGGCGCGAACTCAAGGCCAGGCAGGGGTTTGGGGGGGGGGGGGGCCTTTTTGGAGGTCATGCCTGTTTGCTTGGCTTTAAGGAGAAGCCAACACGAAATAAATATATATATATATATATATGTATATGTATATATATATACACATGTTTATTTATTGTTTTGTTTTTTTTTTGGGGGGGGGTTGAGGGGGGGCGGAAGAAGACACATGTTTCGAATCTTTGTTCTGTCGTTCCAAGGTTTGTGTTTGATACACAAATGCATATGTTGGCAATATGTTGCACTTCAGTTCTAAACCTTGGGAACCTAGACGTTCCATTTGGGGTGGCTTGGTGCTTGGAACCTTTGTGCAAAACGAATGCGGTCTTCCAAAAGGGGTCAGTGCACTTCCATGATCCAAACCTTCCAGAAAACCGAGCAACCCAGACGCGATGTTGGAGCGTTCAGCTTCGCTTAAAAGCGAATCCAAGTTTCTCGCATTCGGGATTTCTTGCTTGTCAACGTTTGGCCTTTTGATCGGAGGTCAATCGGTCATTTCTCTAGTCCTGTGCAAGTGTGAGTTGGTTTTCGAGTGGTTGTCCAAGACCATCCAAAAGCGAGCCCTTCTGGATAAAGTAGCTGGTGGTTGGTCCAAATTTGCTTTTAACAAGGAAGCTAAGGAGCTACCAGGAGTTCTGTAGGGACATGGTAGTAATTTGATTGCTTGCTTTCTGATCAGGTTGAAGTTGTGCGGGCCATCCTGTAAGTGAAATGGGGGCTGTCCAATGACCCTCGTCCGACAAGCTTCTTTCAGGCTGCCGCGCAGCCTAAGAAGCGCCCTCAGGTCTTCCAAGCCCTTTCAAGAGTTGAGGTTTTTCTTGCTGGCGCTCAGCAGAGATTGAGGGAATCACCCCCTATACACCATCTCCATGGTTTCCCTACAGTTGTTCGAAGCCGACCTTTTCACCTTCTGGTTTTCCCTTTTTGGTCCAACTTTTGGTAGTCCCAAAAGGTGTTCACCTTTTACGTCCAGGTTCTTTGGGCAAGACAGGCCGACCGCAAGTTTTGTTAGCACAGCATAGCTCGGGCCGGTCGGGCGCTCCGCCCATTGAGCCGATCGAATCGAGGCGCTGCTCATTGCCTCGCGCCAGCGGGCGGACGCGCTGGCCAGCGCCATTGACGTGCAGGTGGAGGAGGTCATGGGCAAGGCGCGGGGCCCCGGAACCCCGCGCCTGGCGGGGGAAAAGACTGGGGACTGGGGTGGGGGGGAGGCTGAGGCTGTGCTCGGGTTGGGGAGGTGGGGTTGGGGGGGGAGGGGGGTGGGTGCTAGATGCTCAGTTGTGAGGCCATTTTCGGCAGATGGCTTGGGTGGAGCTGGGGGCTTGGGGTGGAGGGGGCGTAGATCTTGCCTATGAAGGTCCCATGGCGACTCCTCAATTCCTGACACTGTATTTTTACAATGTCAGACGGTTTGCGGGTGATCCACTAGATCGTTGGTGACATCCCCACCTTGACAGAATATGGGGAGGGTCTACCCCAAGCCTTGAGGTTACTTGCTGCCTACAACAAGGGGTTCTCTTGAATCCAACCGGGTGGCGCTGGCGTGTGTCCAAAAAGTTGGCAATGTGCGTTGCATATTGGTTTCCTTTTGCCGTCCCTTTAGGATCATCACGAAAAGATACCAAATGTTGTGTTTGCCACTAAAAAGGTGCAACCCACGAAAGTTACTGGAGTCCGTGGCCGGAGCTCTGGAAGCGAAGAAAAGCAGCCTGACTTGTTCTTACGATAGTCAAGTTTGCAGAAGCTGAGGAAGTGAGGTCATAGAAAGTAATTTGTGTGTGGCTCAGTAAAGAGCTAGGGTGGCGCAGGTTTTCGGTGGCTCCATTTCCACGGTGTTATTTTGGCACAAACTAATTTGAGCCAAAGCCCATGATTATATCTTCCGAGATTGCTTTTCGGAGACCATTGCGCTCAGGGTAAGTGTCAAGCCCTTTTCTTAGTTGGTGGGGTGTTGCTTCAAAACTGGGCCCCCCCCTTCGTTTTTTTGGTTCCTCCACTCCCTTTCCACCCCTCCAAACACACCCCGAAGCAAACACACACACACACACACCACGCCTGCAGTTTTGATATCAGCCCTAGCTCTTCCAGGGGACCCGAAGCGGGTCCAATCGCTTGCGTAGGACCATCATCGCTTGCATCCGAAGAAAGCCCCGTGCGGGCGTGGGTCAAAATAGCGGGCCGAAGAAAGACCGATTTCTCTTAAGGGCTTCTATCCAACCTAGAAAGAAGAACTGCTGGGAACCGCAACACGAAAAGCACAAAGCCATTTGTTGGCTACCGGGCATGGGGGCACGCGGAGTAACCGGCTCTTAAGGGCTGCAGCTACTCACACGCATTTCGAACTCTAGGGCCCAAGGGGTCACAGGTGTCCTTTTTAGGTTAGTTTTGATGAAAAATCGATGGGTTCCACTGGTTTAGATTGCCATCCGTTGACCTGGGAACCGCATCTTTGCTTCCAAAAGGGCACCTATGTCCTTTGAGCAAGCTTCAAAAGTTGTAATTATGCCCTTTGTGCAAGTTACAAACCTGTTAAAGAGCAGGTGTCAAAGCACCTTTCACTTTGTTCTTTGTCCTTTGACACCTGCCACTTTGGGAAGTTCCAAAGATTGGACACGGTGGCTGGGTTGCTTCAGGAGAAGCAGCGCATGCACGTCATCGAGGAGCTCTCGCAGCACTGCTCCGAGCTTCTGCGCACGCAGGCCCTGCCTCGGGGCATCAGGCTCCGGTGGCGTTTGGGCTAAGTTGTTTAGCGTACCCACTGGTGGAAACAGATGGCTGTGCCGTTTTTGTGTGTGTGTTTTTTTTCGGGGGGAGGGGGACTTCCAACTGGCTGTGGTTGTCAAAACCAATGGGATCCCATTTTGGGGTAGGTGAATTCACCACCCATGTTAGTCTATTTTAGTGGGGATTGGGATGTTCACTGGGGGCACAGGATTTTGACCCATGGCCAAATGGTTTCTTGTTTAAAACCAACCAAAAGGGGTACCGAGCCTCCCCCCAATGAGCTTGGAACCTGACCAGCCGCGGGGTGCTGGCGGGCGGACCATTTTCCGATTTTAAAAGGGGCCGAAAGGGCGGGAGGGTAGACTCAAGAAAAACGTGGTGCTTGGTTTGTCTACAACAGATTTAGGCCAAGAAGGTGCCCTACAATCCAGGAACTAAACCATAGTCGGATTTTGTAGTTGATCAGACAGAATTCATGCTTGATCTATCCCAACTGCTTCAGTTTGTGGCACAGTAGGGCAGGCGGACTTTGGATCCGGGGAACGGGTGCTTCTGCACAAATAGCGAGCTCACGGATTGGGGGTCAATGAGCACCATGCTGATCGGTTGGGGCGAACGCGAAGGTCATTTTTGGGGGGAGGAGCGGAGAGGGGGGCGGGGGGAGAACAATTCCTCTGAGATTAAGCTTGTTGTCGTTTGCAGGCCCATGATTGTGAGTTTCCAAACTGGAAACAGCTTCTTGCTCGGTTTCTTCATCATTCTGCCTATAGCTCACCTGGGATCTGGAGTGAAACAAGCTCACCATGAAGGGCAAGGGCCTTTACTTGGAATCTTGAGGATCTATTTCTCAATTCAGGAGTTGGAGTACTACTGTGGACCAGTTGCTAGGTGGCTTACCCCAGTATTCACAGGGTTTCGTCCAGCACAAGTGGCGCAGGGTATTTTTTAAGCCGCATCCGCGAATGACTTCTGCGGCTTTGCCGGGCCAAAGAAGTTTGGTCTGCCACGGCTCCAAAACCCGCCAATGCCACGCCTGCAAAATGGCGCCTCAAGAACCGGGCCACGGGCCCCGAAGAAATTCTTTTAGAGCGGGTTCAAAGCTGCGAAGCTGCGAAGGGGAATCCAAGAAGAGGTGGTTCAAGCGATGCGTGGCTTAAGCATGGTTTCATTCGCTGGGGTTTGGGCTGGCAACTAGAGTGCCCTTTCTCACCCCTTTTTTGGTTGGGAGGATTCTTCCCCTACTAAAATAGGCAAAACAGAAAAACAATCGGGTACCCGTATTCTAACCTCAAATCTGGAGGACCTTTTTCAGCAAGGCTCTTGCTGAGTTCGGCTTGGGCTTTCCAGGAGCAGCGGCAGCAAGATCTCATGCAGGAGCTGGAGAAGCGGCTGGGCTACAGGGAGACAGCTGGGCTGACATATAGCTGCTCAGAAAACCGGTACAATGGCACCTTGGTGTATTGAAGCAAAGTCTACCAGCCGTGTTGCCCCACCTGCTTTAAAATGAATGTTCCCAAGCCCATATGGCCATGGGCTTTTCAGGCCCCCAGTGAACATCCCAATCCAACCACGGAAAAATAGGTTCTAAAATGGGTGATGAATTCACCTGCCCCAAAATTTCACCTACCAACCAAAAAGTGGGATACCATTGGTCTTGACCCACAGCCATATTTGTATTTTCATTTTGTGTGGGGGGGTGGGGGTTTAGGGGTGATTGTTTGACTGTCTGTTTGCGCCAAAGTAACGCCATAGTCCAGATAACTTCCCTAGTGCCTTAGAACCAACGTGTCTATGCAACCCATCCCCTCCCCCGCAAAACAACAAGAAACCGTGGGTGTGTTCTTCTCGGTGTTGGCCTGTTTTTTGTTGTGTGGCACCCGTTTTCCCTTTAGCTTGGCCAACAAAGGGTTCGGGCTCTTGTTCTACCAAAGGGGCCACGGGTCGTGTGTAAAACCACGTCTACTTGGGCGCTTGCATGTGGTTTCCGGTAGGGATTATGGATTCGGAACACTCCAATTTGAACAGCCCAGCCTACCCCATCCCGAAACCTTTGAACACAAACCCACAAAAAACGCGCACACCCGCACACATACAAAAACGCGCAGACACACACCCACCAAGACACACTGGCACGCCATACAGAGGCACACACACACAGACACAAACACCCAAGCACACTTCCAGTGTCGAGGAATTGCAGTCTTCCCCGAGGGGCCCGGCGTGTTTGGGTGGGTCGAGCTTTGGCTGGGCCCTGGCAGAATATGAAGCGTGAATGATCATGCCTTTAGGGTGGTGTGCCCTTTTTTTAGCCTGGCAAAAATCCAAGAATCCGAAGGCACCATGACTTCGAACCCCGGTCGCACCTTTTCTAGCCAACTGGCGAATCGGCCGTGTAACGGGGACTGGGGATTAATACACCCCTGGTGTACTTTGATCGCACTTTCAGTAAACCTGCCCCAGCAGAAATTGACCGGGAAAGCCGCCTGCGGTTCCATTTCAAAAGATGGCCAGTTGCTCAAACAACGGCAAGACGCTTTGACCCAAAGGTCAGCAATACCCTTATGTCCACTAATATGGTGCCCTGACGTTTCAGGGTCCTGGAAGACTATTTGCCTTAAAAAATGAGCTGTTCAAAGGTAATCCTTAATCCTCACCTGCGGTTACGCAAGGAACCGGTTGCCTTTGTAGTGGCTTTCCCAAGGGGATTATGGATTAGGATTGGCCAACCCTCCATTTTGAACAGCCCAGTAGCGCTTCTCGCTCGCGCAAACGCGCGCGCGCGCGAAAACGAGCGAGCGCACGAGCGAGGCTTAACACGGCCACCCAGCAGTGCAGCGAGTGCGAGAACCGGTCCCAGCTCCTTGGGCCAAGCGAAGGCGTGTTCTCAGAAAGTTTCTGTGAGTGGTTCTCAACGTGGGTTGCCTTTGAAACAGGAAGTCTCCTCAAGCTTGTGGCCAAGAACCTGATTTCTTTAGGTGGTAGCCAGCCCTTAGCACCTTGCTGTTCAACATGGGCTCCCTTTCAACCACTTGGGTAGGTTTCAGGATGCGACTTCGATGGACTCCATGGCCGCTGGAGGTTTGGCTTTGGATTGAGAAGGGGAGTCAAGTCCAAATCCCATCCTTCCCAGGTTTCTCGTCGTGGCACTTCTGGGACAAAATGTAGTGACCAACTAGATCAACAGCCCGCCGATTGAATACCTCGTCAATGTGCCAGCTTCTGCCTAAATCCAGGGTCAACGCACACACACACACACGGACATACTTTGCTTGAAAGCTTACTTCCCGGGTTCCTGGACATGTAAACTTTCTGAAAAGACAATTGTAGTCAACAGGTTTGGACTTTTGGCCAGTCTACTCAACTACCATTTGGTTAAGAATATCTTTATTTTCCCCTGTTGGTTTTAAAGGGAATCTATCACTGCTGGAAATAGTTTTGTTTTTCCAGGGGACCGAAGCAAATGGAGGTCAATAGGAAGTGAGAAAGGGAGTGCAACAGGACACCATCCATTCTTGACAATTTGAGGCCTTGACTGCTATTGGGTTGGATCTTTAAACTTCAACTTTTTGGGACAGGTTTCCACTAAACTCCCCAAGCAGTTATTAAAACTGTTTGCAGGGGGGTCGTTCCAGCAACCAAGTTGTTTGGTGAAACTTCCCCTTACAAGTTCGCAGGGAGCCCCAAAAGGGCGCCCCCCTATATAAAGGAGATTCATCTTAAAAAGCGGGCTTCTGTCTTTGCACCGGCATTCTCGCGGTCCCATTCCGAGGTTCCTCGTGGAGCGCATCATCACCTTGCTGGCATGCTCCCCCCTGGACGCGGAGCACGTGAACGTGCTCAAGGCGGGCAACCCGAAAGGGGGACCTTTCATTCTCTTTTTGCATGTTACAGTATACATTATACATTATAATAATTAAATTTATGTATGATCTTCCATTGGATCCTTTTCAGTCAACCTATCACCCAGCTGTTCAGTGACCCCTAGGTTTTCCTCCGAACCCAGTAGACTGTTTTTTGTCGGTCCCTGGGTAGACTACTTTGAAGGGAGGCCAACAGGTTTAAGCTGGAATTCTGCACTGAACTTGACCCATACAACTCCACCTGCTAGCCCCTAAATCGGTTCTAGCTTGTGTGCCTCACTTTCTGAACTTCGCACTGGTACGAGCTCAGTGGTAAGCAAAAACGACTCGACTTTGGAAACTGTACTCAGTGCAAAGCAAAGCCCAAGAGTATAATATTTGTATTTGGTGCCGGAACCTTCCTTCTCCACCAAGTGGCAACCCTTGTGGAAAGGTCGTTTGGTGGACACATACACACACACATATATATATATATATACACATACATATCCCTTGTATATTCCGAATATGCCCCCTCGCATGCCCCCAAAACCCTCCTCAGTAAGGTGAATCCTACCAACTGGTTCCATCTCCGCTTCTGGTTAGGCCAAGCACCAGGCGGAGCGTGAAATGCTGCGGCAGCCACTCGGGCTCGACTGGGCTCTGGGTCGGGCCAACCCCCCCCTCGGACGCCGCACATTCATACTGTGGATGGACGAAATCCTGCACCACCTAAGAGGCCCTGGAGGGATGATTCCCCTGCAAATTCCAACAAACAGTGGTTTGCCCATGGTTTCCAACAGGTGCAGGATTTTGTCCATCCACAATAGGACGGGTTTGTTGATCCAGGGTCAACACGAGTTTTTGGTGCCTCCCACGGCCAATCAAACCTTTTTGGAGGCGAGCTTCCACTAAGAATTCGCGGCACAAGGATGTGCCAAATCCAGGCAGTTCGGCCGCTTTGCACCAGGAGCTCACGGTTTCCCCACGGCCAATTGATGTGTGGACTAGTTTACTGGGTTCCTGGAAGTGGTTCCACTTCGAGTGGTCATCAATTGACTTTTGCCGGGGTGGCTTTCCATTACACCACAATGTACATATTTGGAGCATTGGCAAGGGGAGCCACGGCCTAATAGGGGATATTAGTAGAGACCAATGGAGCGATTCAGGACTTTTGTGGGCCATAGCAATTCGCTCAGTCAGACGTTTCGCCCGTGGTTTTGCAGGGAACGCCATGCTACAAAAAGGGAACACCCCCCCCTCCACTGTATCCACCATAATGGCAAAACTATCTGCTACAATACTCGGGTGAAAGTGGGTAGCACCCATGCCTCCGTTTTAGAACACTGACCCACACACAGCGACTATGTTCCACTTGGTGCGCATCTAAACATGAGCAGAAAGCCAAACTGGATGCTAAATAGTACCTAAGTGTCAATTTCCATCAGGATACCCTATTTAGATCCTCAAGAGTCCAAGTAAAGGCCCTTCATGATGAGCTTGTTTTACACCCTCCATCAACTATTTAAAGCAAGTACACAAGGATAATAAAACAACCGACGGCCGGATTTTTACGGGTCTCGTCTCAGGTTCGAAGAGATCCGGCAGCAGTACGACGAGGTGAGGCAGCAGAACGTGGCGCGGGCCCTCAGCATGTTTCCAGGTGGCCATGCTTTTTTGATCGTGTGTCAAGTGAGTTTTTGGTCCACCTTACCCCAGTTGGTGGCTTGGATTGGTGGTTTGGGGATTTGAACCCCTGGCTTTTGTAGGGGATGAATGGGAAACCACTTCAAGCCCCCAAAACACACATTTAAATGGAGGGAAACTGATTCTTGTGGGACGGTACCCGTTAGGCTGGCCCAAAGGAAACCCAGCAAACTGAACACACCCTTTTGGGCCTCCCCGGTTTCGCATGTATCCCCACAACAAAACGGTGGTTTGGATTGGTAGCTTCGGGATTTCAGAGGGATGGGCAACCGCCAACCTCCGAACCACCAATGAAAACAACCAAGCCCCACAGCAACAGCCACAGCAACAGCCACAGCAACAGCCACAGCAACAGCCACAGCAACAGCAACAGCCACAGCAACAGCCACAGCAAAAGTTGGCTAAATGGGTGCGTCTTTTATAGGCGAGCCCCCGAAAGTCCTTTTGGCGTCCCCTAAAAAGCCACAAAACCACTGGGTACTCTCAAAGAACGATGAAAGTGCACAGGGACCTTTGCCAAAAGGACTGTGCAGTTTTCGGCTAACATAGCTTGACTGGGGTTGTGGGGTATCATCAGAAAACAAAACTGTGCCATGATCGCAGGTAACTGACGTTTGTAAAGCAGCACCCTTTGGTTGCGATTGCGTTTCGAGGCGAATTCCCGTGAGCATCAACTCCGAAAGGGCTCCTTCTTGCTAGCAGGGTCATTGGGCAACGTGGACCAGTGGTTACTGTGTTTGTTTTGTTTGCGGAGTCTGAGTTTACTTGTGCAAGAGCAGATTACAACTAATTGGGGTTTGCAAGTTTGTGCATTTAGCTTTGGAGTTCACAGGACGTAGGTCAGCCAAGACAGGAGATTGAGGTTGGCGGATGTGAGGGTTTGCTTTCACCAGGTACAAGCACACTTTTTCAGGCTGTGTGTGCCGGACGCACGTGGAACCTGTGCATGCTGTGTTGGACATGTGTATGGCGTGCCTTAGTTTGAGCTCCCGCGGGAGTGGCACTTACGCTCGGGCTTGCTCCTTTAGCCCTAGGAATGGGCAACAGCAAAGGTTTGAACCTGGTGTCCGTTTAATTTGGTTTGCCTTTAGAGGAAATTGGGTTTGGCTTCATTCAACACTCGAGACCCTTCAGTTTGAGGTCTTTCCAAGAGCTCATTTGCGTTTTCGGGGTATCTAGTGATGCAAGAGCCTGGTGAAATCCCATGGGGCTGAATTCAGAACGCCCGTACCCCGGGTTTGCGACCAAGACAAAGCCAAATGGAACCCGCTTCCGGATCAATCAACCCGGAAAATTGAGAGGATGTTCCCAAGGATCCGATCCCCTGTGATGGGTTCAACGCTAGCTTGCTCCCTGATGTCCTGGACTTTGAGAGAACTTTTGGGGACCATGTCCCTTGCTATTTGGTAACGGATCTTTGGACTGAATAGCTTTTGAACCCACAACAAGTTTCCGAGGGACGGTTACAGCAACCAAGGTGCGTGGCAATCTTTGGCAAATGAGGATCCACTTTTTATCCGACCAATCCACTCACGAGAGAGGTGGTCTCGCTGCCTCAAAAACACCAGGAGCTGACCAGCAGATTGCTGGAAGAGCGCCTCGGAGTGCCCAACAGGTTTAGTCATCCATTGATTTTGGACACCTATCTTGGACCCACTGCAATTTCTTGGCTTTTCGGAGGATCATCTTCTTTGGCATCTTGTCTGCCACCTATTTGCTTACGAATGTTGCTTATGTCCCTGTTTGGTTTTAAAGGGAACCTATGACTACTGAACATATATTGGTTTGTCCAGGGAACTTAAGCAAAGGAGGCTGCCCATGTAACCGCGAGCTGGGGATAAAAGGAGATCGAAATGTAAGGTAGTTCCTTTGCTTGGGTCCATTTCTTATTTCAAGGTTTGGGATTCTTGATGGCTTTGTTGACCTTTTGCCGGTCCTTTACTTGATGATCCCTTATGCGGCCCTGATCGCACCCCTGGATGTGAAGGAGCCCCCTCTCGTTTCCGAGACACTTAATCAACCTAGGCTTATTCAGGTTTGGTTTTCTGGGATTCATGATGACTTTGCTTGGTGGCTCCCAGCCATCCCCTTAGCTTTTTAGCCTTTTAGTTTAGTGGGGATTTGCATTTAACCCACTAAAAGTTAAACTTTTAGCGGGGGATCTGAGGACAGCCCAGTTTGTTGATCTTTTGCCGGTCCTGTACTTGATGATCCCAAATTTCCGGGGGGTTGGAATTGACGAGGTCGAGCTTTTGCCAGGCGAGGTGTTCCGTTTCTCATTGAAGGCTTCTGTTCACGAGGGCTTGCTTCTTTGTTGCGGCGGAGCGGAGGGGACTGGAGGTCCCGGTCAGTGCCGCGTGTTGGTGTTTCTTGGTTTCATGCTTGTTGGTTTGGTATTTGTTTTTCAGAGAGCTGCAAGCTAAAGGGGTTCTAAACTTCTAGTGAAGAGGGGAAAGTGATTCGCGAGATTGACGGCTGGGTGCTAGGGGGCATGCAGTTTGGGGTGCTGGTGCAGGTGCTGTTTGGGATGCTGTTTGGTGACTGTGCGGGCGCATTTTTGCAAGATTGACGGTCGGGTGCTCTCGGGGGTGCTGTTTGTGGCGCTCTTTGGGGGGTGCTGTTTGTGTTTCTTTGTGCCTCGCATGAGAATCAACAGAATCAAAGCAAAGACAATACTCAGGTTCCCCTCGGCTGGTGGTTTTGGATTGGTGGGGACTTGAACCCCTGGTTCTTGTAGGGGGTAAATGGGAAGCCTCTCCCAAAGCACCAAAGAACATCACGTTTGTATTTTGGTGTGGTGATACCCCTCAGGTCACACGAACCAGCGCTGTGAGCGGGTAGACCGGTTCATAGCTTTCGTGGCACCGTGTTCAAATTGACCAGTAACAATCTTGGCGTGTTGCTTTCTGCAGTGATTGTGCTGGTTACATTTTGTGGTGAGCGAGCCTCCCGTCCCTCTTCGGAATTCCTGGCTTGCAGTGTCCTCACAGTGTCCTCGCCAACATCATTTTCTCTTTTGCTGAGTTCCAGGCCATGTAAAGAGTGGGTGGAGGATGGATCTTTTTTTTGCCGTGCTTTTTTCTTTTGCAGCACACCCCAGCATGGAACCTGACAGGGACCCGGTCCCTTTGACAGGAAAATGCTCCAAACCAGGACCTCTCCCCCAAACGTCAGGCTCCATAAAAAAGAGGTGGGCCCCCCCTCCCCCTCCAACCCCCCCGCGCCCCTCCCCCCACACCAAACCCTTCCCCATCCCCCAAACCACCAACCCCCCCCCCCGCCCCCGCACCCCGCTCGCCTTTTGTTTCCGAACGCAGGTCCTCCTTCTCCCGGCGCCTCTCGGACCAGCTGGCGGAGGCGGAGGAGCGCTTCAACCGCTTCGGCGCCGCCGAGGCGCGGCGCCGAGAACTCAGGGCCTTCGGGCGGGTTGGGCCGGAGCTGAGGGGATGGGATGGTTGTGGTGCCAAAACCTCGGGGAACTTCAGAAAGGTGCCAAAACGGGGTGAGGTGAAAAACATGTAAAAGCCCTATGACTTTTGGGGTTGATTTATTTAGAAGCAGGATCTGTTAGAGATTGGAATCTAGATTTGAAAAACCATGTTGGTGTTTCCGTCCAAATTGATCAAAGGTGAACCTTGATTTCAGGTCCGTTGGCTAGCCAGTGGTTGGAAGGGAGCCGATGAGCTAGGGGTATCCAAGTTTGCTGATATAAAGAGGGAGCAGTTCAGGAGCTGCCGGGAGTTCTGTAAGGACATGGTAGTTGAAGAGTGGAATCTTCTTTTGGGAAGTTTGGACTCCTTTAAATTAATTGCATATGAATTTGTGGAGTAGGATGGAGGGAGCCTCAAAAAAATCGGGTGACTTGACTGAAATTTGGTTTGCCTTAGATTTGCCTCCAGCCAACAAATGGCGCCTAGGGGCTCAGTCTGGTCCCTAGAGGGTCCCTTGCAGGATACATCAGTTGTGTTTTGTTTTGTGTGACCGGGATGTATCCCCTGATGTTTGAGTTGCGGATGAAATCACTGGGCATGATAGCCCCTTTTTGGCCGAAGAAGGAAAATAGCCTGCAGTTAGTTGAGTGGGTTATGAGCCCAACGTTTTTCCTGTAGGCCCTCCTGAGGGCACGCCATGGCATCCTCGGCTGGGTCGGCGCAGACCGCTGACTCGCCGGAGACGGCGATGGTGCCGTGGCAGCCAAGCCGCGAGGACGCGGTGCCGCTGGGGCCGGCGGTGGCGGTGAATCCTTTTTGGTCAGAGAAGGCCAAGGAGGAAGCGCAGCTCAAGGCGCTTCGCCCGAAGGATCTGCCGGAGGTGGAGGAGGAACAAGGGTCGCTGGTAAGCCCGGGAGCGCTGCCGGTGGGCTCGATCTACAGCGCGGAGATCCCGGCGGGTGGCCTTGATGAGCTCCTCGGTGCCTTCAAGCAGGTCATCACGCAGAACCAGGCGCTCTGGCAAGAGATGAAAAGTCTCAAGGAGCAGGTGCGTGAAGGCGGTGGAGGCAAGGCCATGAAGGAGTTGGGGGATGCACCACGTGGTCCTGGGATGGGGCCTGGGGTGGACGCGCCTCGTGCTGCTCCGGGAGGTGGTGATCTGTTGGGTCTTCCGGGAGGAGGTGGCGTTGGCGGACCTTTGGTGCTGCGAGCACGACAAGGAGGACCTGGAGATCAGAGCGGGTACCAAACCCCAACGGCGCTGGCGGGAGCCTATGGTGGTGCACCGCCCGGAGGAGGACCTCGGGAGCGTCGAGCAGATGATGGTCCTGGAGGGCTTCATCCTGAACAACCTCAAGGGGGAGAACCTGGTCGTGGAGGTGCGCATCGCGGAGGTGGGCAAGGATCAGGAGATCCTTCTGAAGGAGCGCTACTACCTGGCTATGGAAACGGGTGGGTCACTGGACGTCAGGATGCGGGTCTTCGAGGTGAGGGCCAGCCATCTGGGCACGAAGGAGGTGGGTTTGGCGCGGCTGGTCGTCATGCAGATCAGCATCTACCCGGCGGAGGGTTTCATGGAGGGTGGCCCTATAGCGCTGGTGGACCCGGAGGGCGGCCATGAATCCGTGGATGGGAGGATGGACGCCTGGAGAAACCGTTCGCACGGTGGAGTTGCCGGCATTGGGGGAGGTGAAGGAAGGCGAGCTCGGGTCATTGGTGGTGGGGGATTGGCTGATGTTGATCAGCCCGGTGATGAAGGACCTCACTGTCAGTTCCGGAGCATGGTGGGATCAGGTGCTTGCAGTGGCGGCAGAGGCCTACGCGCAGTGGTTGCAGGCGGATCCTTTGCAGCGGCTTCACATCAGGCCGCGGGCGGTGGAAGATGAAGGTGGTCGTTGGAGCGGGCACAGGCCATGTTGGTGGCTGCTTTGCCACCAGGGTTGAAAGCGGAGGTGCTTGCGGAGCGAGCTGCAACGGCCTGGGAGATTCTGTTCCGGGTGTTTACAAGGTACCAGCCAGGAGGGCTGGCGGAGAGATCACAACTCCTCAGAGGCTTGGTTGAGCCGCGGGTGCCAACGACGCTGAGTGAGGTGGTGGATGGGGTGAGGACGTGGAAAAGGTGGCTTGCCCGGACCCGTGAGCTGAAGGTGGCGATTCCGGATGCTACGTTGCTGGTTGGAGCCCTGGATCGGTTCGTCGGGATGGTCACGAAGCATTCTGGCCAGGCGATGTTCAGATTGAATGCGGCACGAGCTGGACTGCGGGTGGACGTGGCTCCCAGTTTGGAGGCGGTGGCGCAGCTGGCGGACGTCGTCCTGGCGGAAGGAGAAGCAGCACTACACGGAGCTTCGACCTCATCTACTACAACCGCAAAGGTCAAGGCGCTGGTGACCAAGGATGGAGGAGGTTGGGAAAAGGGGAAGGACAGCCCAAAAGGAGGAGGGAAAGGCAAGGGCAAGGATGCTTCGGCGGCTCCTGTGTGCCGGTTCTTCCTCACGGATGGGGGCTGCAAGAAGGGAGCGGATTGCACCTACAAGCATGAGTTCGACGGGGACAAGCGTGGACGCTGTTGGAATTGCGGAGGGACTTCGCATACCCGCAAGGACTGCCCGGTGAAGGTGCGAAAGCCTCGCGATGGAGATGGCGGAGCCAAGAACTTCAGCGAGAACGATGTGAAGGGCCAGGCCGTGAGGAAGGTCGAGGTGGATGCATCGGCGCCTACTACCGGTGGAGGAGAAGGATCGCCCGCGTCAGGGGCAGGGAAGACATCACAGTCAGATGGAAGTGATGGTGAAGCAGTGCGGGGACTCATTCAGGAAGCAGCGGGATTGCTGAAGAGCTTGAGGGGCCCTGAGTTGAGGAGGATTCAAGTGAGCTCCCTGGAGGTTAAGAACAAGAGGGCGCTGCTGGATGGAGGAGCGACGCACAGCCTGAGGCAGTGTGTATCTGCACAAGAGTGGGAGGAGGCTCGGGAGGTCGAGGTGCATTTGGCGCAGGGGACGGTCTCTTTGCGGCTCATCCCGTGGACGAGGACGTTGCTGACCACAGAGGAGGTCCAGCCCATCGTTCCCCTGGGGTACCTGGTGCAGAGGGGCTACTCGGTGAAGTGGGAAGAGGACCGCTTTCAGCTGACCGATCAGCATGGGCGGACTCTGGACACCGCTTTGGAAGGAGGCTGCCCCACGGTAGATGAAAGCCTCGGGTTGGAGCTCATCAAGGAGTTGGAGCTGGAGGCGCTGAAGCACCAGATGCGGTTGATGGCGTTGAGAGGGAAGCCGTTGACGACGCAGGAGGAGGAGAAGGTTGGCCTGGAGATGGTCAAATGGCTTCGGAGGCTGAGGGAGCTATTTCCTGAAGTGCCGGAACGCATTCTGGAGCGGCTGCCCCCGAGGTCGGAGTGGACGAGTTTGCCGTGGAATAGGCGGACCAGGAGGAGGATTCAGAAGGCCAAGGAGGTCATCCTCCACCTTTATTCGGGCCCGGACGCGAAGTTCTGGGAGAAGGAGTTGGAGACAGCAGACAGAGTGGTGCTTTGCATTGATCTGGAGCTGGGAGAAGGCCAGGACGTTGGGAAGGACGGCGTGATGGCCTATCTGATGGAGCTGTGTGCTTCGGGAAAGGTGAAGCAGATCTTGGCGGGCCCTCCGTGTCGGACTATCTCAAGGATGAGGTTTGTGCAGCCGGGACCGCCACCGTTAAGGACGAGAGATGGAGAAGAGCGCTTTGGGCGTCATGGACTTCCTCAGGTGCTGATGGACAAGGTGGATGGAGATACGGTGCTCTGGTTGAGGCCGATGCTGCTGTACATGGTGGCGGAGGAGGCCAGTTCGTCCAAGGTTGGCTTCCTGGCGGAGAATCCACAGGATCCGGAGTCCTATGTGGAAGGAGGTCAAAGAGCCGCAGAAGCTCGGGAGCGGTATCCGTCGTACTGGGCTTGGGACGAGTGGAAACGGTTCAAGAAGGCCTACAAGATGAAGGAGTACCACTTCGATCAGGGGCCCTTTGGCCACGCAAAGACGAAGCCTACGACGATAGGCACCAACATGGAGATGCTCGAGCAGCTGGACGGTGTTCGAGGAGGAGGATCGGATAAAGGTCCGCTGGGAAAGACCTTGGAGGAGCGGATGGCGGCTTCGAAGAAATGGGCTGCTTGGGCGCCAGGGATGAAGAAGGCGATTGCCACGGCCGTTCGCATGGGCTTGGAGCAGGTGAAGCTGAAGGGGCTGAGTGCCGAGCAATGGAAGGCGCACTTGGCGAATGACCACCTCCCGTTTCATCGGGGATGCCGCACGTGCCTGGAAGGAGCCGGAAAGGCGCGATACCACCGAAGGGTAGTGAGCCCTGAGAGCTACACGCTGGCGATTGACCTGGCGGGGCCCTTCAAACCTGGACGAGATCAAGAAGGTGTGGGACGATACATCGTCGTTGGCACCTACACGGTTCCGGTGACCCGGGCAGGGACGAATGCTCATGCACTTGGCCCCGGAGCATCTGGCGCGGCTGGAAGGTCCTGGTCGAGGAGGCGTACCGGAGGCGGTGAAGGAGATGAAGAGGTGGAGGAAACGGGACTACGACGTCAAGAAGTTGAGGGGCACGGGAGCAGGCGGACCGGCATGGAAGTTCGTAAAGTGGAGGCTCTCGGTGGACCTGGACACTCATGAGATCTTGGAGTCCAAGAGCATGGTCGGAGAAGATCAGAAGGCGATGCAGACGGAGATCGACAAGCAGCGAAACCTCTTCACGGTGCTCTACTACCAGGAGGAGGAAGGGGACCTGGAGGGACCGCGTGGGGAGGAGGACATGGAGCTTGACCCTGCGGGGGATGATGAAGCAGTTGAGGAGGAAGAGGAGCCATCTCCAGATGATGGGGAAGAGTGGCTGAAGAAGATAGAGAAAGAAGAGGACTTTGAGGTCCGGCAGCTCACGCTGGTGGAGATCGTGAAGACGAGAGGAGAAGCTCTG